TGCATGCACAGGCACACACATGCATATGTGTACATGTTCACTCACCCACATGTGCATAGACACACAACTCACACATGTGTATACATGCACGTTGCACAAGCATGTACATGCACACATGCCACAATGTACACATGCACACACATGCCCATGCACACATGTACATACACACATGCACACACATGTAGATACATGCGCACACACATGCACCCTGACAGCCATATGCCAAAGGGACATAGGAACCAACTAGCAAAGCTCCTGATGTCCAAGGCTGAGCTAATCTGGCAAAGTCAGTGAGGAGCATTGCACGGCAGTCTCCAAATAAACGCCGGAGTCTACACTGACAGAAGTAGATGTCAAATCCATAAGGAAATGGCACCTGGCCAACCCCTGAGAAGCTTCACTCACCCACATGTGCATAGCTTCCCCCGACTTCTATTGTCCTCCCCCTCTGTGGGTGGGGCGAGATGGGTGCTGACATCACAGTGGAGCAGCCTGGTGCCACCTCCCTCAGCCCTGAGGCCCATGTCGTCAACACTACTGTCATTGACAAGTGACATGGGTCACACAGAGGGCGGTGCCTGGACACCTCACTCGCACCCTCTCCCCAAAGCTCACAGCCCTGCCCAAGTGGAAAACATCAGCGCGTCCCACCATGGCCTATGCGCCACGGAGCTGGCAGTGGCCCCTACACTCTACCCAGCTCACCAAAAGCAGGTGTCTAGGGACGCGTCCCGCCAGGGAGTAACCCAGGACCAGGGGTCCCGCCTGCCTACCCTGGGAGCAGGACAGTGGGAGAAGGAAGGAACGGGAGTGAGTGCAGGTTCCAGGCACAAGTGCGCAGTTCTGGGGCATTCACTGTGACACGTGGGACTTTCGGCTTAAAGTATAGTAACAGGAAACGGGTGTGGACACTGTCCATACCACCCTCACACAATTTTTCTGTAAATCTAAAATATTTTCAAACAAGAAGGCTTATTTTTATAGCCCATCAGCTACAGGCCTCCACTCTGCCAGCTGAGCTACCCAAGGCCTCGCTAAGCAGCTCATTTTGAAAACAAAGTGGTGTGAAGACCCTGCACAGGGGTCGGTCTGCTGACTGCAGGAAGTCCTCCTGAAGGCAGGGCGTCCTGCAGGCAGCCGTCCTAGGCGTGCCTCCTGCCTGTGTGGGGTGGACGCCGCTGCTCCACGGCGGCCCTGGCCTGCTGACAGGAGAGCGCACCAACTCTCCTACTAGCCCTCGGGGTAGAATCTTGTGCTCCGAATTCCCCAGCTGGCCGCAGTTGCCACTCCAGCAGTGCTTTACGTGGACCGGCATGAACTGCATTTGGAGCAACACCACCTGGAAGAGCCACACGGCTCCTCAATCCGCACAGCTCAAGTCCGCCAGCCACACCCACACCAGAGCCACACTGGCTACCGCCCAGCCCTTCTGAGGTCTGACAGCCACTGCTTAGCCACTGGAAGACACCGTGCTGTCCAGGAGAGCTGTCCCACTCTCCACAGTAAGGACATGAACAACAAAAGTGAAATGGCACTGCGAAGGACCTGTCAACCAAACACACAGTGGCAGAGAAAGAGGAGAATGCCCCGGCGATGCACAGGGCAGAATCCTCCTCAGGGACACAGGGACACGCGGAGTCACCCAAGGAGGGTGAGCAGTATCAAGTGGCAGCCTGGAAGCCACAGCAGGCTAAAGTGGCCACAGGCCTGGCTGAGATCAGGGGACAGAGTGCTGGCCCTGTGAAGCTACAAGGGGGTAAACATCACTGCAGGGCCACCACGAGGTGTCTGTAGTCGGTGTATCTGGACCACAGGCAGCCCGTGTCCAGGCCCGGGGAGGTGTCCGTAGATGGCGAATCTCTACCACGGGCAGCCCGTGTCCAGGCCCGGGGAGGTGTCCGTAGGTGGCGAATCTCTACCACGGGCAGCCCGTGTCCAGGCCCGGGTGGCCTCAGAATCCACTGTGTGCCTCAGACATGCATAGTTCACGACCTGTGAAGTGTTTGCTTTGGGGTTTTCCAGCTGACGGTCCAAGGCCTCAGGGAACAAACTGTTGAAAGGGAGGGGCACTGCTATGATAAGATAACCTTAGAGGAACAGCAACATGACAAGCCCTCCTTTAAATATTAAACAGAAGCGAGGCTCCAGCAGAAGCGCACAGAACACAGAGCTGCCGACCCCTGCTGTGGCTCTGTGGGGTGGAGGAGGTCAAGGCAGCCTCGAGTGGAGCTGCAGTGAGATGGGGACCCAGATACGAGGGCAGCAGGGAGGAACAAGCCAAAAGCAGGACACAGAACAAGACACCCAACACCAGCATCACAGCAGAGAACACTCCAGCCAGACCGCCAAGAAGGCTAAGAGCAGACAGCAGCTGCAAAGAGCCCAGCAGCAGGCATGGACGGCACTGCGCCCGCTGCTCTGCCCCTGAGGGTACAGGGTGGGGGACAGGCCGAGGGCGATCACACTCCCAGCAGCCTTCGGGCCCTCCATGGTCCACTTCATCTGCCTCCGTGATGCCCAGGCCGGGAAGGATCAGGTCAGGCCCAGGGTGCAGCCAGGAGGGAAGGCCGAGCCCTGTGTGGGCAGCAGGAGGGGCTGGGCACACCTGGCCGCCCAGCCCGCCCTCCTCTGGGGTCACAGGTGGCAGTGGACAGCTGCAGAGCCCAAGGCTGACGCCACTGTGCCAGCTTAAAGGACACCCCAGGCAGGCGCCCCTCAACTCATGTGGTCCGCCGCACTCCTGGGAGCAGGCACAGGAGGGCAGCCGCTCAAGGGAGGCCAGTCCATGCTTGGAAGCCAGCAAGACCCCTGAGGGCACAGCTGCCTGCGTTCGAACCACGGCAGAGAGAACAGACCCGGGAGCCATTCTAATCAGCAACTTGGGGAAAGGGTTCAAGACTCACAGAAGCGTTCACTCCCTGGGACTTTAACCCAGGAACTATTCAATATGAGAAAACCTACAAACACGAAGACGTCAGCGCCTCTGCACCATCCCAGCTGTCCAACCTTAGACGTCACTGGCAGGCACAGAACACCTTACAATACACACAGTGTATTGTACATGAAGCGTGCTACAGTCAGCGAGCAAGCTCGTGGAGAAGCAAGCCCGGCCCGTGCCGGCAAGCCCATAGCGCTGGTGGCTCGCAGAGGCTCAGAGATACTGTGACCGTGACAGTGACGGGCAGTGGACGTCTCACGCTGCTTCGAGCAGTGTGAGAACGCGGGGCAGCGTGGGGCAGGCCCTGCGGGGAGGAGGCAGAGGATGGGCGCATCCTTGGCCTACGGGGAGCCCGAGAGGCAGCTCAGGGGGCTGGTGAGCAGGTGAGCGTTACCCGTGTGGTGCAAGGGGATGGCTCCAGGTGCTCGGTGTCAAAGGACTGAGCAGGCACCCAGAGGAGCAAGACAGGCAGCCAGAGGAAGGGGCTCCCACACGGTGCGAGCACCCCAGCCCTGGGCCTCGAGAGCCCTGGGGTCACGAGGTCTGTTCTGGGGCAGTGGACAGGAGTGTCGGCCCAACGGGCACCCGCCTGGGCCCAGCCACCGGGAGAGCCCTGCTGACCCAGCAGGTCTCCTGGAAGTGAGGCAGCGTCCTGAGCCAGCTGGAGGGGACAAAGCCACCTTGCAGGTGAGGGTGCTGGCCAGGCGCTGTGATTCAGGGCTCACCCCCCATGCTGGGGCCTGGGGCACAGGCGACCTCTGGGTTGGTTCTGCTAATTTGACATCAGCATCCTTGTTCTGTCTGGTCCTTGGCCTGCAGCTTCCTGTTCGCTTGTTCTTGCTTGACTTCTGGCCTCAGGAGGACCCGTGTGACCGACAGCACTGGCCGTGCAGTGACCGGCCCGGGAGGACGCAGGCCCTGAGGGCCCCCGAGGCCCCCCGCCTCCTCCCAGCTCACCAGTCGCTGGTCTCCAGGGTCCCTGGCACTGAGGCTTCCGAGTGGTGGGCAGGACGGAGAACAGACAGCTCAGCTCTGTGCGGGCACTGCTCGTTGGCCCCCACGAAGGGGTGCCATCCAGCCACGTCTCCACAGAGCTCGGAGACCACGCCGTATTTAAGAATACTGAGTTTTTATTCCATAAAAGCCACGACATGTTCTCCCACCGAGCGGCGTTCATCACCTTTCCTGTGCCATAAACTGCCTTAAGCATCCCATTCCTTCCGATTTCTCACTTCTGGCCAAATTAGTATAGATAACAAACGGCTGCAGAAGCTGTAATTTATAGCGTACAAATGAAGTGCACAGCTTCCATTTGCGGAAAGGAGAGGCGGGGGGACAGGTTTTCTCGTTACTGGGTGATGTATGGGCCACGCAGGATGGGGACTGAGGGCTGGAAATCCAGGGACTCTGCCCCAGCAAGGCCACCCCCTGGGCCCACTGCTGGCTCCCAGGCGCTCCCAGGGCTCAAGGGGTGACCTGGGGACCCGGGGTCCATGCCGGGAACCATGGGCAGCCTGAGGGTGACTGCTGAGAAGGCCCGGAGCACACGCCTGCTGTGTGGCCACTGGCTGTGGGGCAGGTGCAGGCTCAGTGGCACAGAGGCGGAAGGCCAGAGGCTGACATCACCACCCCCACCCCCACGGGGAGGCCCGCCCAGGCCTGCTGCCCTCCGGGACCAGGGCTACCACCGTGCAGAAGCCGCCGGGGCCTTGGGCAGCTTGGGGCCCGGCACTTGTACACCATCACCCTTTACCAAAAAAAGTAATTTCTTTATTTTAAAAAGCCACCAGATGATGGAAGCAGGAAGTGTCCACAGAGCTGTGAAAATTCACTCAAGGGCAAAGCAGGCATGGTGAGAGGGGTGCAGTGAAGTTGGGGTCACGTGTAATGGGGGCTGCAGTTCGGATACCGCTGGGACCCTCCTTATCGTGCCTGCCCCACTCCAGCTTCAGCCAACGAGTGCCCATCCGACCTCGCTGCAGCCCCTGCAGCTGTGGGGACGAGCTCGCCCCCAGAAGTGTCACAGCTTGGACTTCCCCAGGGCTGAGTCCACATCCACCACGGAGGACAGGGCCAGCTCGTGCTGGGGGGCCTAGGCTGGCCTTGCTCCAGAGAGGAATGGCATGCAGGACACGGCTGAGACGCTGCTCCACGGCGGTGCCTACGATGGCCCAAAGCCCAGGCCGCTGGGCAGTGGCTGCCACAGGGCGGTGGCACTGGCCCCAAAGACAGGGCCAGTGTCCTGCTCCAGACAGCCGGAGACTCCAGCCCAGAGCCCAGCACAGACAGAGGCAAGGACCATTTGCGGAAAGGAGAGGTGGCTCTGCTGGCCTCAGCTTGGAGACTTGGGACGCCAGGTGCCACAGCCGCGCAGGCCCTGTGCTCTGCATGTGGACGTGGGGAAAATCATGGCTCGGAGTTGTGTTCTGCACACCTGGGACAGGAGGCCCACGCCGTGGTCGGCCATGACAGCCTGTGTGTCACGTGCAGCCCTGGGGTCCAGGGCTGGGGGCCAGCATGCAGCAGAGGGCTGTGTCAGTGCGCTCCGGCTCACAGCGACACGCTGGCCACACCCCTCTCACACAGCAGACAGGTCCACGCGCTGGGCAGAGTGGCTGCTCTTGTCCCAGGGGCTGAGCCTGGTGGAGGCCATGCCTGGGCGGGTCCCGTTCATCTGCAGAGCATGAGAGCATAGAGCTGGGGCTGGTGCTGGGGAGAAGGACCCCACGGGCCGCAGCGCACACGGGCGGGACCTGCCACTTCCACACTGGTGGATCAGCGTCCAACACACAGAGCTCTGCCGTGACAACTGCCCACGCCCGTGCACTGTGGACACAGGTACGTGTCTGTCCACCCACACATATATGGCTGTTGGGCCTTTCCTGGGTGAGCACATGGTGCTGGGTGCTATGGGGTAGGGGTGCACACCCTCATGGGCAGCAGTGGCCCACAAGTACGTGTAGGAAGCAAATCATGGAGGGGTGGTGGGAGTGTGGCTGCGGGGCTCACCCAGCAAGGACCCGAATGGCAAGAGGGGGCATCACAGTTCTGCTCTGGGCTGCAGGGCCCTGGGCGAGGCACGGCCAGGTGGGACTAGAGGCCGGGAGTGGGGCAGCGGCTGGCAGCTGCAGAGGGCGGCAGGGGCAGCGGCCAGCGGGCTCAGGTGGCAGGGAGGCACACAAGCGGCACAGCACACTTACAACGTCCGAGCTGAAGGGCTTCCCGCTGGCGCTGCGGGCCGCACTGCCGGTGAGAGACCAGACCTTGGTCTTGTGCTTGAAGGCGGCTCTCACCTTTGCAGGCAGAGGAAACATCTATCAGAAGCGGCAGCAAGGCTGCGAGGGCCAGGACCGCTGGCCACGAGAGCCCGTGCAAACGCGAGGCCCAGGAAGCCCGCACAAGGTGGTGACATCACGAGGCTCTTCCTGGACACCCCACAGGCACCCAGGCACACGTACCTCAGAGTTCAGGAGACAGTGGAAGAGGAAGATGAAACCGCCCTGCAGAGGAGAGGAGCACGTGAGGGCCAGGCGCACCCGGCACCGACTCGAGGGTCATAGCCCAAGAGTGGCTGGCACCTTGCCGTGGCGACCCTGTGACGCCGGCCTCTGGCCCTGAGTGCCCCAGACCCACTCTGTCATCTAACCCAGATTGAGGCTGAGGCTGTGACCAAGTGCAAGGACCTCAGTGTCTGACTTGAGACTGGCACCCACTGGGCCTCGGCTCCAGCCACCGGCAGATGGGGCTAGCGCTGACAGTGATGAGGCACCCACAGAGGAGGGTGCTGCAGCCAACCGGACCGCTGCCTGGAGCCTGCAGATGGTCCACCTGGGGAGACGGCTCAGCAGAGGGCCACCGGGCCTCATGGACAGGGCGAGCAGAGGGCACGTCAGGGCAGCAGCAGGGCCACCTGGCACATGTGTGCCAAGCACCAAGGGGACCTGTGCGGCGCGGCAGGCACTGCTCCCAGGGGCACAGGCCCGGCACGGACGAGCGCACAGTGGATCCTGCGGTTCCGCCCTTCAGCAAGCCCAGACTATGGGCGCCCAAGGCTCTGCCCCCAGGCCAGGACCCTTCTGTCCCTTCACACCTGTCACTGCCTCTCCTGCCTGCTCACTTCTGGCCCAGAACCCTGTGTCCCCGCCCTTCCCAAGAACAGCTGTGGCGATCTATGGGCACCTGTGTCCTGGGCCGGCGGAGGGCACTGGGCTCACCTGCAGGGAGTTGAGCACGGCGAACATGTACTGGAAGACCAAGGCCTGGTCATTGACGGCCAGCACGCCAAAGGCCCACGAGGTCCCCAGGATGGGCAGCAGCACAGCCACAGCCTTGGCTGTCAGCCTGGAAGAGACAGCGAGGGCCACCTTGGGGCAGGCAGGATGGGCCATCAGGTGGCTCGAGCTGCGAGGCTTGCGGGGCTGGGGTGGGGTCCCTGCAGGGAGGGAACCCAGGGTGGGGTCTTCCGGAAGAGGACCCAGCCCAGGTGGGCTGTGTGGACGAGGACCCAGCGACACCTGGGAGGTGAGATGAGCAATGAGCTCCCGCAGCCAGGGTGCCTGTGAACCCAGCTGCCCCACGCGGCAGAAAGAACCCAGGAAACCGCAGCCTGTTCTGATGCTAGCACAGTAAAAGCAGTACGCCTGTCCCAGGACCCTGAAACAGCCTGGCCTCAGGACCCAAGCAGTACGCCTGTCCCAGGACCCAGAAACAGCCTGGC